CATGAGGAGAGGGAGCAGCAAGGTGTGAGGATGCTGCAGGGGGAGAGGGTTCTATGAGGTGTGAGGGTGCTGCAAGGGGAGAGGGAGATTTGGGGGATGCAGATGCTGCAAGGGAAAAGGCTGGTGCTTGGGGAGTGGGTGCTGCAAGGGACAAGGGTTCTGTAAAGGGAAAGGGTGCTGTGAGGGGAGAGGGGAATAGGATAGATGAGGATGCTCCAAGGAAAGAGGACACAGGGAGACGGTGCAGCAAGGTGTGAAGATGCTGAAAGGAGAGAGGGTGCAGCAAGAGGAGAGGGTGCTGTAGAGGGAAAGGGCAATGTGAGGGGAGAGGAGGATGTGAAGGATGAAGGGACTGCAAGGGTAAAAGGACTGTGAACCCCATCACCCTGTGAGGGGAGAGGGTGCTGCAAGGGAAAAGGGTGCTGGAAAGGGAGAGGGTGCTGTGAGGGGTGAGGGGACAGAAGGGTGCAAAAGATGAGGATGCTGCAAGGAAAAAGGATAATGCGTAGGGAGAGGGTGCTGCAGGGGGTGAAGATGCTGTGAGGACTGAGGGTGCTGCGAGAGCTGAGGGTGCTGTGAGGACTGAGGGGACACAGGGACGCGAAAGATGACGGTACTGCAAGGGATGGTGCAAGAGGAGAAAGTGCTGTGAGGGGTGAGGGTGCTGCAGAGGGTGTAGATGCTGCAGAAGCTGAGGAAGCTGCGCGGGACGAAGATGCTGCAGGGCCGAGGGTGCTGAGGGCGCAGGCGGCCGCGGGCCCATGCGAGGCTCCAGCCCCATCTAGCGACAGCTCCGCCGGTCCCGGCTCCCCACCGGGGAGGGGACAACCTTCCACCCCGGATACCGCTCCTCTGGAGCCGGGATGCAACAGGCTGGGATGGGGATGCCTCGCTTTGCGCCGCCCAGGGATGCTCGGAGATGTTTGCCGGGCAGTGGGCACCCATGGGTGCCCCGCCACCCACGAACACGAGGCTCAGTGCGCGGCAGGCTGGTGGGTACAGGGAGGGGGGAATCCCCCAGCAGGATTAAAACAATTAATGAAACAGGGCCATAAATGAGCTAATGTGATCCCAGAAGTCACCACCTTGGCACTGCCTCCGGGAACAGGGGCAGGGTAAAGGCATTTGCAGCAGAAACCTGCCAGCCACCCCAAATCCATCTGCAATGTCACCGCTGGGCTGGGGGAGAGTAAAAGCAACGGGAAGAGCTGTTTTCTTGGGGAGAAAGTGGGATGGCGAGGACGGGGACAGAGGGACATGGCTTTTGGAGGGCAGCAGAGGGTGCTGGAGGCGCAGGAACCCAAGGGTCAAGGGCTAGGGGAGGCTGTGTGGGGGCTGAGGGGGTTGAAAATGATCCAGCTGCCACAGTCACATTGCATGAGGGTTTTTTTTTTTTTGGTGATCCAGGCTCTGGGCAAAGGTTGAAAAACAGGTGGGCTTTGCATGGGCTTCTCCTGTTTGGGTCTGGGTGGCTGAGGGTTTAGCTGTGTGGGGTGGGGACTGGGGACACCAGCACTGAGCCAGAGCATGGAAGAAGAGAAAACTGTCTCCAAAATGCCGTTTCTATGTGTTTGGGGGTGCTTGCATTGGAATGTGTGCGCCCATCTGTGTCCTGCTCCAACACAGCCCAGCAGTGCTACTAAACCCTCAGTGAACATGGCACAGAGGGACTCATCCATCCTTGTTTAGGGACGTCTCAGCCCTTCCTGGTCCTAGGAAAAGTTATCCCACCTGTTCCTAGCTGCATATATTTGTTTTCCTTTTTTGTCTCTCTCTCTCTTTTTTTTTTTTTTCCCCTTCCTTTCATTTTCTTTTGAGGAAAATAAACCAGCAGCGACTCACAGAGGACTCGCAATCCCTGCTGGTGGCACAGCTGCTTCCTTGAGCCTTATCTTGAAGGAGCAGGCGGGAGGGTGGGAGCCCGTGGAGCAGTCGCCTCTCCGTGGAGCATCTCCCCTCCCCGAACTACCCAGTGTAATCCAGAGGCTTTTATATCCTTGTAAAACACGATATCAGCAGCCTGCAGCTGGGCCTGGAGCCGGAGAGCGATGGCAATCGCCCGCCCTAAACTTGTCCTCGAGGCTGGAGGGGGGGGGAGCAGAAGATGTGGTGTCTCTATTAAATGGGACATGGCACCGATTAAGCAGTTTTCAGTGCAATCCAATTAACTCCTAAATTGAATTGTAATGCTTTGCCTAAAACACCCCCTTCAGAATGGCCCCCCCTGTGCTTGGGAAGGGAGTTCAGCCTTGATTTAATCAGATAAAAACCCCGTTTATTTGCTGCCTTTCACATCCTGCCAAGGTGTAAGGGGCTAAAAATCTCCGTATTTCCCCCGTGAATTGGAGTTCCCCGGGAAAACACTGTGATTTTAGAAGTAGAGGGGGGGGAAAACAATGTTTTCCCCACTGATCTGGCCACCCAGAGGTTCTGAGGGTGGTTTGGGTACCCAGGAACATCAGGGACCTGGGACTTGCCATAAACCCCAGCCCCATCTGTACCTGCATCCCAAGGGAATATGTGAGGCTGATGGGGGCAATGGGCAAACCAAAGGAAGGCATCACTGTCTCCTGATGGTTTTGTGAGCTTTTGTTACAGAAAAGAGGGAAAAATGGGATTTTTTTTCCCCGCTCTGATCTTCCTAAGCCATTGCAATAATTTTTTTTTCCCCTCAGATATGTAAATCCGAGCTTATCCCATCTTCCTAACAATGAAGGAATTAGGCTTAATGTTAATCCGTGGATGTATTATTTGTTGAGATGGAGGGAGATGGTGCTGCAGCAGAGGGTGGGGCGCTGCCAGGGGCCCAAATGCCTCTGTGCTCACATGTGTAACAAGTTGTCCCATCCTCAGCCTTTCTCCTGTCCCTTTCTCAGACAGGGATGGGGTCCACACGTGCCAGGTGGATGCAGAACCCCCTGGCACACTCTATTTTTGGCCTTTTTCGGACCTTTCTGCCTCCTGCAGAGGTTTACCTCTAGCCCCCACCCCCCTCACAGTCTTGCTTTGCTCCGTGCTGCTCATCTAGAGAGGGATTGATTCCAGCAGTCGAAGCTAATCGGATACATCAAAGCATCTTGGAGCAATTTGTTAAGTAAATATCTAAAAAAAAAAAAACTTGGCCTAAGCAAATATGGGAAGGAGGGGGGCGATGAAAAGGCTCCAAAGGCAGGAGAAGCTTCAGAGGCTTGGAAATGACGAGGGAGAGGGGGAAAAAAAAAAAAATTAAAAAATAAATAACGAGTGCCAGGAGTTTCAAAGCTTCCATCATTTCAGACGTGGATTCCCAGCCTTTCATCCCGGACCCCTGTGGGAAGGAGAGACGCAGCAATCTCCGCATGGATTTGAGATAGGAGATGTAGGGAAAAAAAATGCCTTCAAATACCTTGAACCCTGTCCCTGGGGTGATACTGCCTGCCGGGATGGTGGGATTCTGAGCAGCGCTGGGCTGGGAATACAGGCTGGGATGGCTTTTCCAGGCTCCGCAGGTGTAGCCTGAGCCTGGAAAAGCCGTAGTGGAAGGCAGCCCAGGCAAGGCAAGTGCATTATTGATGGGGCAGATAATTGCATGCTTCCCACCGTCTCCTTGATGAAAAATTGATGGCACGGGATGAGGTAGCGAAGGGCTCCATTGACTTACACCGGCCTCTTTGTTCCCTGACAAACACCGGAGCAGAGGAGGACGCGGGATGCCGCAGCTGGTGGGAAGCACAGCAGCCTCTGTGGGGACCCTGATAAAAGGAATGGGATGAGGGATAAGCTGGGACAGAGAATCCCGTGCCTTAAAAGCCTTTAAATTCGGTCTCAGGACGGAAGTGGGGTTTGCTCAGCAAGTCATCCAGCGAATCATTCCCAGGCCAGACTCTGAGGTGGAGCTGAAGCCTGATGCCACCCAGCACCTCCCAGACGTGGGTTCTCCGGAGTTAATTGAGTGTTTGAAACATCAGAGGAGCGTGCTGGGAAGGCAGAGCATTTCCATGTGTGGAAATGAGGCGCTGTCATCACTGCAGCCACCCAGGAGCACTGGGATCCGGTGGTGGCCTCCACCAAGTCACCTCCTTGGCTCTGCACTGCTGGGAGCAGGGAATGAGGCAAAAAAACCACCCTAAAATTGGGACGGAAATGAGAAGGGACAGCTGGAAGCAGCGAGGGGCTGAGGTCTCCACAGGCTCTGATGGTTTTGGAAGAAACAATGGGATGTTGAAAGGGAAGAGGTGTGGATGTCCAGGGCACCTGTCTGCCTCTGGAATTCTCCCATCTGGGTGCAGATGAGTGATTTTAGCCTACAGGTTGCTCCAGGGAGGTGTTGCTAAGAGGCGAGTTGTGTTGTAGCAACAGCTGCCGGTGTGCTGGGAGCTCCATGCCACCTAAATCCTCTTGCCAGCAGAAAAATCCTGGGAAAACCAGCTTTTCCTCATGCTGCAGCCCCCCGGTATCACCGCAGGTGCCCCAGCTGTGGCTCAGGCGGTGGTGGAGGAACAGGAGGTTTGCCTAGGGGGGATTTGTTTGGGGCAGGAGGAGCCTGGCAACCCGCCGTGGGCAGGGCTGACTGCGGGAACGGGGTGCTGGGGGGACCGAGACACGCCAGGAGCGGGAAGGATGCTCTACTACAGACCCTTCTCCTCCACTGTGAGTGCCGGGAGTGGCAGGTGGGGATGGGGACGTCACCTGGTGTCACCAAGGGAGGGGAGGACCCAAAGATCCCTGTTACAGCCAAGTTAGGGTGCCTGGCTCAACAGTCCCGCTGTGGAATGATGCTCATGGAGATGCATCCACGTCTTACATGTAGTGGTATCACTTGGGGACGTGGTTTAGGGCTGGTCTTGGCAGTGCTGGGTGAATGGACTTGATGGTCTTAAATGATTCCGTAATTCAAAGTCAGGGATTTCTAAGTGCCCCCATCCTCAGGAGAAGGTCTTCTTGCAGCCCTCTGGCTGTATCCAAGCCCCAAGGCGGGATGCTTGAAGCATTGCAGCCAGTCATTCCAGAGGTTTGGGGGCAGAGCTGGAGCCTGATCCCAAAGCAACAATGGCAAAGGTGCTTTGCTCCAGGCGAAAGCCCAGAGAGCTGCTCCCAGCTGTGGGAAAGGGAGTGAAGGAGCTTGTTCCTCCCCAGCCTGCTCCTCATCCTCACCCTCCACTCTGATGTCTCCTGCCAGCTCCATCAAGATGACACATCTCTCCCGGCAGTTGATGCCATGGCCAGTATCCTGCCCGGAAAGCAGCCGCTCCCACATGGAGAGCAGAGGTAGGGGGACCACTGTGGGTTTGCCTCCTCCTTCTCATCCTCCTTGGGGTTGTTTTGTCCTTCCTCCACTCTCCCCGTATTTTTCCCAGCAGCTTCTCCTCCTGCCCCCAATGCTGCTGATCTTACTCCTCATCTCCTCCACCCTCCCAGTACCCCAAGCAGGCTCCTGTCTCCTATGGAGGCTTCCTTGGCCAAGGTTTTGCTGGTGTTTCACAGTGTCCCCCCCACTCTTGGCTCTGCAGGTCCCAGGAGATCTTTGGAGATCGCCAGGAGCGGGTGAGCGCCAGGGAGATGGGAGGAGCAGGGACAGTGGGGACACTGAGGAGGAAAAGCAGTGTCCCCAAGAGTGGTCCTGCCTACCAAGGGGACCAAAGCCAGTGAAGGTCTGGGAGGGGGTGGGGGGCAGCCCTTGAGCTTGGCTGGAGGGACTGTTATCTTGGGAATGAACCAAAGCCTGGGTGAAACAGCTCCTGGGCACATGGGGAGGAAGGAGTAGAGCCTCTGGCTGCACCTGCCCCCCCTTTCCCTCCTTCCCAAGGCTTCATGATGCTGCTGCAGCCCCTCCCCATGCCCTGACCCCCCCCATGGGCCACTGGCCAAGGCCATTCCCAAGGCTGGGAGCAGGGGCCCAGGGGAGCTGGAGGCACGCAGCTGCCTCTGACCAAGGTCCCTGCTGTCAGCATCCTCCCAGCGTGGCAGAGAGGGATTCAGGAGGGTCAACCTGAAAAGATAAAAATCCTCAGGGAATTTTATCCCTTCAGCATCACCTGGCATCATCTTTCTATTATTCTTCACCCCATCCCTTCTTTTAAAGACCTGCAAAGGCCCGAAAGGCTCAGAGCTTGGGGATGACTCCCAGATCCAGCACTGCTCCACCCCACATCCTTGGGAGATTTCCTCAAGGGGGTTGTAGGAAAAGATGGGGAAATGGAGGAGGGGTCTGTCGGGTGGAAGGAGAGGTGGGTGGATGGAGAGGAGAAGGTTTGGAGGGACAGAATGGATGGTTGGAGAAGAAAAGGATGGATGGATGGATGGATGGATGGATGGATGGATGGATGGATGGATGGATGGATGGATGGATGGATGAGAGAAGGATTAATATATGAATGCATGCATGGATGGATGGGAAAAGGAATGGCTAGAGAAGTGAAAGATAAGTGGCTGGAGAGGGATGCATGGAGGTGAGAAGAATGGAGAATGAATAAATGAATTCATGGATGGATAGATGGATGGGGAAGTGAAGAATGAATGGAAGGATGGATGGAGAAGAGAAGGACTGACACATGGATGGATGGATGGATGGATGGATGGATGGATGGATGGATGGATGGATGGATGGATGGATAGAAAAACGGGAGAGAGAAGGATGGATGGAAGAGTAGAGAAGGATGGATGGTGTCAAGAGGAGCAGAAAATCTGGATGGTCCTTGGGTCTGACCCTCAAGTCACATATCCCGAGCCGATCCCTTGGATCTGGGGACATCCCTGGCTGCCATGGGGTGCCAGCAGCTCTGCTCTGGGCTGGCAGGAGGTGGACAGCTACCGCCTGGCGCTGAAGCGGATGGCAGGGGACCTGCTGTCCCTGCGCCGGCATGTCACCAGCCTGGAGGTGAAGAACGGGCACCTGCGGTGCAGCCTGGCCTCGCAGCAGGAGCTGGGCCACTCCCTGCTCCACGACGACGACGACCTGGACGCCATGACCCGGGAGGAGCTGCTGGACAGGCTCGGTGTGTGGCGGGGAGGGGGCAGGCAAGTGGAAACTGGGGGGACCTCCTCCCTGGTCCCCTGGCCAGGTGACAAGGATGTGGCGTGGGGTGCATCTTACAGCCACCCTCAAGCACAAGCTGGTGGCCAGCACAGCAGAGATGAGGAGACTGAAGGATCGTGTCCAGCAGCTGCAGAATGAGCTGATCCGGGTATGGATGTGAGCAGGGGCTGCCTGGGGGGATGGAGTGGGCTGGAAAAGCAGGGGAACCAAGGAGGTGCTTCAGAACCCCAGGACCCCCCATCATGAGGTCCTCCCAGATGGTGTCCCAAGGCTTGAGGCTCAGCACAGGACTCCCTTGGGGGAATTTCCCCTTTCTCCCCCACAGAAAAATGACCGGGAGAAGGAGCTGGTGCTGCTCCAGCGAGCCCACCGGCTGCAGCAAGCCATGCTGAGGAGGTGCCAGGATAAGGTGGCCAAGGCAAAGGGCTTGGTGGAGACAGTGCAGCAGCAGGAGAAGGTGAGCCATGGGGCACAAGGCTGGGGTGAGAAGGACAGACTGGGGGGCACGAGGCACTACGGAGCAGACGGGACCCTCTGGCCCACCCTGCTCCTCTGTGAGATGATCATCACAGCCTTGCATTGGGCCGGTGACACGGGGACAGCTCTGCTGTCTCCCACAGGTCATCGAGGTGATGGAGCGGGTGCTGCAGGAGAAACTCGCCGGGGCGGGCAGGAGCACGGAAAAGCCGGCAGGTGGGTGCGAGAGGGAACGAGGACTCTCGGGAGAGCCGGGTGGGCTCCCTTGGATGATCCATGGTGGGGGATCAGTCGGTCCTAAGCCCGCCAGCGCACATTCCTGGGCGTGGGAGAGGCAAGGGCTTGCTTGCTCTAGCCGCCATCCCTGCAAGGGAAGGGGCGCAGGACACGTCTCAGTGTTCCCCCCCCCCCACCTCATCCCCCAGGTGAAGCCCTCTCCGGGGAGGTGCACACCGCGCTGCTGGCCGAGAACCGCCGCCTGCGGGAGGAGCTGGCGAGGGCCGCCCACCCCGCAGCCCCCATCGCCCCGCGGCCCCCAACCCTGCCGGTGAGACTGGGAGGGGGCGGGCACAGGACTGGGAGGGGCGGCAGAGCCGTGGCACTCCAGAAAGAGCTACTGGGGAGGTCGCCTGGGGGCATCACCGAGGTGGCACCTTCGGCTCTGTGGGGCAGTGGCCACCCCACGGCCTGCCCCCGCCGTGAGCAGAGCGAGGGAGCGGGGAAATGCAGCGCAGCCGTTCCCACTCCGGTTCGCCTCGTGCCCACAGGGTGTTTTTGGGGGCACGGAGAAGCTGTCTCTGCTGGCCAGGCTGGAGGAGGCACAAGCCCGCGGGCGAGTGCTGGAGAGGCAGGTGGGCATCACCCCTCTGCACCCCACTTGATGGCGGGGGGCTTGGAGTGTCCGACACCTCTGGCCCCCATTTCTCGGGGAGAGCCAGCCTGTTTTGTGTCTGTCCCAGCTGGAGAAGGCAGCGAGGAAGTGGGGCCGGGAGAAGCAGGAGCTTGGAACTCGTCTGCTGGAGCAGGAGAATGGCTTCCCCCACCCCTCGGTGAGCACACAGGGGGGACCAAGGACACCCCTCACGGGGGCTGGCAGCCGGTATTTGCTGCCAGCAGGAAGGATCAGGACTCAGAGCCACCCCCATGTGCTCTGGGACAGTCTGAGGGAGGGGTGCTTGGGGGGAGCGGGTGGGGGGCTGTCTCCATGCCCACCCTCACACTGGGGGGAATCTGCCTCAGTTTCCCTGTAGGACAAGAGGGAGGGGGGAGCGTTGACCCTGGGGCCCCCAGAATACAACCCTACCGACCCAGAGCCGTCTCGCCCACACTCGATGGCCCCCTGAGGACGGGGCTGCGTTTACAGCTCCCCGAGACCTTTTCCTGCCCCTCAGCAGAACCTGACTGCAGTTTCCACGGCCCCCCGGAGAAGACCCCACACCCTGCCCCCCCTGCCCTAAGCAGCGGCCGCTGAGAGAGACGGAGAGACGCAATGCTGGCAGGAAGAAGCCAGTGCTTTTTGACGGGATGCGATGACAGAGAAAATGAGAGGCAAAGCAGAACACCGGAGGGGGTGGGAGGAGCTCGGCCGCAGTCCCTGGTGCCGTCCCCAGGGAGCCCCGAGCAGCCGGAGGGTGCAGCAGCACCGACCCACCCTCCCACCCCGCACTCCCTTGGGGTGGCTTCAGTTTATCTCCCCCGTGGCGTAAGCGCAGCCTTGAGCCAAGGCAGGGATGCAGCAAGCCAAGGCTGTGGCCCTGAAAGCGTCCCAGACGTCCCCCAAATCCCATCCCCAGGCTGGAGGCTGGCTGGAAGGAGCCGAAAGTGCCTGTTGGGATGTGGGGGGTGTCCCGAAACGGTCACCCGGGCTGGGTGTCACCCGGGAGCAGGCTCGTCACGCCCGGGACTCGAGCGGCCGTAAGGTCAAGTAGATGGGTTTGTCTGGGATCAGAATGAGATCGAACTTGGTCCCAATTTCCACTGCTCTCATGGTTTCAATCTTGAAGTTCTCCAGGATCTGGAATGGAAGAGAACAGAGTAGATGGGTTGGATAGGGCTTGGAACAACCTGGCCTAGCCAACCCTGCCCTGGAGGTACCAACACCCACGTGCCACTTCCCTGATCCCTCCCAATGACAAGTCCCCGGTGTCCCCAGCAGCAGGATGCTCACCTGCATGAGGAAGAGCTGCATCTCCAGCTCAGCGATCCGGCGCCCCAGGCACTGCCGGGGTCCAAACCCAAAACTCAGTCCCTGGAAGTGCTTGGGGCCAGCTGCCAACCAGCGCTGGGGCCTGAACTGCTCTGGCTTGGGAAAGACCTCAGGATCCCGACCCATGGCATAGAGACCAACCTGCACCAGCGTCTGTAGGGAGAGATCAGCCCCATGGGTCTGGGCTCTCCACGTGGCTTTGCTGGGGTACAGGGGTGGCATCCAGCCCTCCAGCTGCTCCCCCCATGTCACACAGGTCCCACAATGGCCATAGGGTAAGGAGGGAGCTGGTGGCCATGCTCACCTTAGGAGGGATACGGTAGTCCTGGAGGATGACCTCTTGAGTGGTGTACCTCTGCAGGGTCACGGCCACGGGGTGCAGCCTGGGGAGACAAGTGCCACACACCTCATCCTGGGGACAGCCTGGCCTGCCCACATTCCCCCTCGATTTGTGACGGTTCAGGGAGGGAAGGGGCTGGGGGTGTTTTCCAGCAGAGCCCTTGCTCACCTGAGTGTCTCCTTGATGGCAGCTTTGAGCAGCCGGATGGTTTTCAGCATCTTCACCCTGTCCCCGTCCGCCTCACGCTTGGCAGCCAGGACCTCTGCCCGCAGTTCCTCCTGGACCCCCGGGGCCCGCGCCAGCTCGAACATGGCCCACTGCAGCGTCATGGAGGTCTGGAGCAGGGCAGGGGAGCAAGGCTCAGCATGAACCAGGACCTTCCCCCCGCCCAGCCACCCTGCCCGCTCCGTACCGTATCCACCCCGCCCGCCATCATCTCGGTGACACTGGCCCTGATGTCCTCCAAGGGCAGCTTGTCCCGCATGATGAGGTTGCAGAGGATGCCCATGTACTCCTTGGTGCTCTTGCGCTGCAGCCGTAGGTCCCGGTAGACATTTTGGATGCATTTGTCCGCTGAGGAGACACCGAGGCTTGACATGATCTTCCTCCCCCAGGGAATGGTGGAGGAGGAAGGCACATCAGGACACTGCTGCCCCAGGGGGAGACAGCCTGCAGGAGGGTTATCCCATGTGCCCAAAGCTCTCTGAGGCCACACACCCCTCTGGGAGAGCTGCTCCCCTCAACATGCTGCCCATCACCTGCCCTTCATCACTCCTGGATGATTCCCCTCGGCTCCATCCCACAAGCCCCAGATGTGGAAACCACTCCTGGCCTTGGTGATTGGACCCAGGAGAATGTCTCCAGATTGGTGATGTGGGGCTGCACTGTGGAGCCAAGCCCTCAAAGGGACCTTGGTTGACAAACAGAGGTGCAGGTAGGAGGAACACTCACCCTGGGAGAAGATTGCATCCCAGGCCTGGACATGGTCCCGCCACGTCTTGGTGTTGAGGTGGCGGAGGAGGGCGGGCGGCAGGTAGAGCATGGGTGATGTGGTGTGGAACATCAGGGTCACGGCATCGATGAAACGCTGCGAGTCGGGGTCCACAAAGTCCTGCAGCAGCCCCAGCCGCTCCCCGTACAGCACATGGCACACGGCTGCAGGGACAGCACCCATGAGGGGACCCATCCCCATCCCCTTCCACCATCCCATGGCCAGATCCAACCTTTCCAAGACCTAGCTTGGCCTCCTGTTTGTTCAGGGTCGTGAAGGGTTGGTTTGGGTAGGGTTGGCCACCAGCAGATGACCAGTAAATGATAAAAGAGTGTTTTATCAAGTACTGAGCTGTTCTCCTCTTGTCTAGACAGAGGACATCCTGCCTGGAGAGAGGATATCCCTCTACACACTTTGGCTTTGGGAGAGACACTGGTTAGCCCATCTCTGAGGATGAAGCTTGGAGAAAAGGGTGGGTTTTTTGGAGGGGCACAGGCTTTGAGGCTCATCCCCCCGACACTCACACTCCAGGGCGAAGCGGAAGAGCTCGTGGGTGAAGTCGGCCGTCCAGTGCCCCCGGCCGCTCTTCTCCACCTGGGCTCGTGCCCGCCGGATGAAATCCTCACCCACCTGGCTCAGCAGGGGCACAAACCCCTCCACCACCTGTGGCGACAGCACCTCCTTGTTCAGCATCAGGCGGTCCGAGCGCCAGGCCTCCCCCGTCCTGCGGGACACCAAAGCGGGGCTCAGGGGTGTCCCCTTCACCCAGGGGATGCCACTCCCCAGCAGCCAATGTCCCCATCACCCTACTGATGTTCCAGCTTCTCCCCAGCCCATGTACCGGGGCTGTGGCAATAGGACCTGGTAGCCCCATTTTGAGGAGCCCCCCCGACTCACTTGAGGAGCACACCATAGGGCTTGTTGCGGAAGTCACGATATGCCACCCAGGGGGGGACACTGAAGCGCTCTGGCAGTGTCCCCTCTGCCTGGAAGAGGGTGGCGGCGTCCCGAGGGCTGATGATGTTCACACTCTCGTAGACACCCAGCTTCTCCCTGATGAGGTGAAGAGGAGGGTCAGCCCTGCACTCAGCAACCCCAAATCAACCACCTGCCCCCTTGCATGACCTAAAATCCTGCTGGAAGGATTCAGGAATGCATCCTGGGGAATGCAGGGGCTCAGCACCAGGATCAGGCCCTCAGGACTCAGACGGGAATAGAGAGCGGTGCTGAAATCAAATCCCCTGCCCTTCCTCCTCAGATCCACACCCTGTGGAAATCAGGGAGGACAGAATCCTCTCCAGCTCCAGCATTCCATCTTCCCGATACTGGGCATCCACCAGGCACTGCCGCATGGTCCCTGCCCCCTCCTAGGGCACAGGGTCTGTCCCTTCCCGCCCCAGGTTTCCGATCCCCTCCCAAGGATTTGTCCCTTGCTGCCTCCCGTTCCCTGTCCCCTCCCATGGCACAGGGCCTGTCCCCTCCTGACTCCCCTTCCCTTTCCCCCCTCAGGGCACCAGCTCTGTGGCATCAAGCCTGGTCAGTGCACGGCAAGCCAGGCCCCTCCAGCGGCTCAGCCACGTATTTCCCCCTCCCTCGCCCAGAGCAGGGCTGGCAATAGCAGCATCATCCCAGTCTGGAAAAGCCGCTGGGGTTGGGGAGCAGGGTGAGAGAGGCAAGGGGAGCCCAGATGCCACCTCACCTGTAAATGGGCCCGAACTGCTGGAACTTGCGAGCCATGATGTGGTGGACGTTGTTCAAGCCGCCCTCCTGCCAGAAGCGGTACAGGTTGAGCCAGCCGGCTCGCCAGTCCCCTGGCAGCTGGTTGAAGGGTCGGGGAGTTGAGGGAGTGGGGGTGGCAGTCCCCCCAAACCGGTGGCACCCCCCGACTGGGACAGGGGGGCATCCCCGCAAGGCGCCGGGTTTGGGCGCAGCACGGGCGAGCATGGGAGCGGGCGGCAGAGAGGGAAGGGTGGCCTGGAGCGGGCGGTGGAGCGGGGAGGGTGTCCTCGCTCTTATCCCGGCTCAAGGAGAGGTGCTCTCGCCCGCCTCCCGATGAGTCATGGCCCCCCCCGGGGCCGGGGACAGACGGACACTGGGGCAAGGGGTTGGCAGAGCATCGTCCCCTCCCAGCCTTGCCACGGCGGGGTGTGACAGGTGACACACCGACCTTGAGAGGCAAGGGGTGACCACGGGTGACACTGGCAAGTGGCCTGTGTCACCCCATTAAAGGCGGGTGCTGCTGCCAGCGCTGACAATGAAAACTCGGTTGCCAAGGGGAGAAATGGCTTATCTGCCAAATAAATGATAAAAATGATCTAGGGGACAAAATAGCGGCAGTGAAACATAATAAAGGTCGCATCAGCCCCAGCAGGGGACATCCTTGGGGACCCCTGGCCAAGGTCACCCCAGGAGAGGACAGCCTTGTGGACTCCTGAACATTGCTGGGGGTGTCTTACCTCCACCCTCCTCAGGACAGGGGGTGCTGGCGGGGGGGGGACACCTCCCCACTTCCCAGGCTCTAACCCTAACCGTAATCACCCCTCTTCCAGAAGGGAAAGGCTTTTTGGGGTGTCCTGAGCCACGGACAAAGGCTGCAGCACCCGAGGACGGTGGCAGACAAGCACAGTAACACAGGGACAGGTTGTCCCCAGGCACAGTAACAGCCACTGGCAATGGCGGGGTGGGGAAGATAATGGGGTGAGCTACACTGTGGGGTCCTGAGGCATATCTTTAGGGTGTCCCCCGGGTCTCTGGGGTGTCTCTAGAAGGGACTCGAAGCGGGATGAGCAGCAGAATGTCCGGGGCCGAGGATGCTGAGCCGGGCTCGGTGGCGGATGCGACAACGGCGGCGGCCACCGGGAGGCGCGCCTGGCCCGTCAGTGCTACCGCATGGGGACAGCGCCGAATGTGCCCCCTCTCCTCGGCACCTGAAGCCTGTCTCCTACCAGGGCACAGGATTTGTCCCCTCCTGCCCCATGGTCCCCGTCCCGTGCCAGGGCAAAGGGGCAGTTCCTTCCTGAGCGACGGCCCCTGTTCCCTGCCAGGGCACGGAAGCTGTCCCCTCCTGCCCCCCACTCCCTGTGCCCTCCCAGGAAACAGGGTCTGTCGCCTCTTGCCCCACGGTCCCTGTCCCCTCATGTACCAGGCCCCATTGCTTATCCCAGCATGAAAACACCAACTGGCTGCATGTGCACCCCAGAGCTGTCCCACACCCCGGAGATATGATGGCACAGTGTCACTCCCTGTCCTTTCCCCCTGCAGTCACTGTCCTGAGTGGGGCCTGCTGCCTCCCCTCCAGCAAAGGTCACGAGGTCAGGGCCCAAGGGGCACAGAGGGACACGGAGGGACACACTGCCACACACTGAGCTCCGCCCTGTCAGCCTCCAGCCCCAAGGTCACAGTCCCCATCACACTCAGTGTCACCTCTGCACCCTCCTTTCCACCACCTCCCCAAAGCATGGGGACAACTCCAGGGCTCCTTCACCTGATGCCTGTCCCCTGCATGATTAAGGGGTCTCACACACATTCTCCATGGGGCCATGCCCTTCTTCCCCTGAGCCACTTGCCCTGAGAGGGCTCCACATTTTTGCAGCACCTCTGCCAAGGTGTTACCGCTCCTACGGCACAACAGAACTGTGACGGTTTGTGTCCCCTCACAGAGCAAACCGCAGGGCATCTGGGGGGCTCTGATGGAAAGTGGCGGGGGGTGGCCAGGAAGTGGTTCAAGGGCTGCAAACACCCACAGCAACCCCCTGTCCCCAGCCATCGCAGCGGGGACGGGACTCGGAGCACATCCACGGCTTCATCCGTGACGAGCACAGCGGCAGCGCGTGGATGGAGGCGGCGCTTCTCCCGCCTCCGCAGGCAGCCCACGGTACCGCCTGACTCGGGTGTATCTCTGCTATTTTGGGAGGAGCGAAACAGAGAGTCTCACCCCTCCCCCGTGGCCTTCTCCCTCTGCCACCCACACTGGGGACGAGAAGGGCCCCACCAGTGTGGTTTTGTCCCACTCAGAGGTGACACTGTGGGCGTCATGAGCTTTCACTTTCCACCTGTGGGGTTTTCCTGACATGTCACCCCTGGAGCGAGCAGGTGACTCACCACCTTCACACCTTCCCCTGGTAAATAACCCCTCCAGGAGGCCACTGAGACACCCCCTTGGCTCTGCTCCACAACTCCAAATCCAACCTCCCTTGAAAATCCCCCTCCTCAGCCTCATCTGTTGGGAACCCAGGGCTGGGAGTGCCATAACTGTGGTGATTTAGGGTAGAGAAGATGTTTTGGTGGAGCAGTTCATCCTTCAGGTATCTCTGCCCCCCTCCTCCTCCCCCCCCCCAGCCAACGGGAATAGGCTGGGATGGGTCTCACTTCAACGTGATGCAGGAAGTGGATCCATTTTGAAGAGAAAATAAAAGGACAGTGTAACATTGCTGGGATGGAGAGCAGAGCACAGCAGAGTGAAATCCATCTGCAAAAAGGGCATAGAGCTGCTGCTTTGCTTTCTTACCTCAAAAATACACCCTGCATTCCTACATGGACCATCCTGCTCGGCCCCCCGCTGCTCACACATGTCCCTTAGGAAGGACGGTGGTTTTCATGTATTTGCCAACAATTTCTTCGCTTTTTGGCAGTGATTTCACCCAGGGATCTTCCCTGCTCTCCCGTGAGTGAATTCATTCATTGCGAGCTTTCAGCTCCTGCCTACAAACAGGTAGTTGGGAAAATTCCAGTAGTAAAACTGCTGCCCAGAAACCCCCTGTGATTCAGTCTGGGGCTGGAAGGGAGGGAGAGAAACTCATTTTCATAATATTATGTTGAAAAAGAGAAACTTTCAGTTGCAAACAGACTGTGACTGTGACCAAGCAGTTCTCGCTGGAAGGTTTCCCCTGGGAGCAGAGAGAAGGGGATGACATGGCACGTGGTCATCATCCCCCACAGCATCCCTGAGGCACTGGTGATGCTTAAGTTACTGCCAGAGCATCCAGAGGATGGAGCCATCCAGGACAAACTTTAATGTGAAACAGGAACGAGACTACCTCGTTTTTATTCTCCCTCTTCATTAAACTGAATCTCTCCTTACTAATATATTGCCTGTAATCCCAGACCTAAAAATTGCTGGACTGATGCCTGGTTTTTGGGGATGTCCATCCAGCTGGGATGGGGTATCCCAGCCTGATGGGATGCATTCTTCAGCCAGGATCATCCCCCATGGATGTTGGAGTGGAAATTCACAGCTCGAAAGGGAAAGCATTTGTGTGTGTAGCTGTGGGGAGGAGGAGCACGGCAACGTGGGAGGAAGGATGATCCCATGTTTAACTTCCTCCAGTTTCTCCTGGGTCATGTCATTTCTAGTAAATGGCTGGGTTTCCCACTTGGTCAGCCCTGGTCCACCCACACCTCATCCTCCGTGTCCCAGCATGGACCACAGAACAGGCAGACACCTGGCCAAGGCTGGTTAAATCCTGAGAGCCTCAAGAAAATGGGAAAACAGCCACAGGGCAGCAAATAACCCCTACAAATAGAGCTGTCACACCACTGACTGGGTAAACAGGTCGGACAAGGCAGCTGGGAGCGAGCCAGTGGGCGGTAGTTTCAGGCACCTGATCCAGACATGTGAATTCCCTGGATAGAGCCATTTATCCTCTTTTATGGGAGGATGGAAGGTGTGGCCATGATGCAGCAGCACCTCTCCATCCTGCTCCTGTAAATCCAAGGGGTGGCTGTTAGGGTGTCCCTATTCCAGGCTCCAGCAGCTCCTTCTGGGGTGGCTCTGTACCCCCATCCCACCAGGAAAAGCTTCCCAGTGGGGTGCTATGGCTAGAGACACCATCTCAGCTGAGCCTGCAGTCAGTGCATCCACGGGGTGTTACTGTAGGATTTCCCACCGGCTCTGGCCTCTGATGCAGTGGGATACAGGATTTCCTGGGACTATTGTCCTGCGCGGCAAACCCTCTGCCTGGAGCAGCCTCTGGTGAGGCTGGAGGCAGAAATACCCCCAAAAAAAACGATGCTGGGAAAAAACAAAATGCTTGTGGCTTTTGTTTGAGGTGCATGGCTGTTCCCACTCTGCCTGTGCCGGAGGAAGCCCAGAGAAGTTGCTGGAATACCTGACCTTCCTGTGCGTGCCTGCTCCAAGTGAAAACACAGATCCCAAAATAACTCCCTCGAACAATGTGGCCATAGTTGGGGTGAGGGCGGTGATGTTCCGGCTTTCCCCTCCAGCAGCCCTGAAGCCACAATAAATCCTGGTGCCTGTGTTTGCTCCCGGGTTTTGGCTCATTGTATTTAAGGAAACAGCCAGCGGGTGGTGGAAATGTATCCCAGAATAAAATACAGCCCAAAGGCTTCAAGTTTTCCTGCTTTTCTCAGGGAATTTAGCAAAAGGTGTGTTTTGTCCTGGCTGTTCCCAGGGAGAGGGGATGGAAACCTGCTGGGGATGGAGATGCAGCTACAGCCCCTGTATGTGTCCATGAGCTTCCCTGTCATCCAGTGCTCTCAGCCGGATGGTTTGGGCAACCAAACTGGAATTGTTGTTGCCTGCACCTTGCTTCCAACCCACTCCCAAGGGGCTTGGGATCACCTTCATGTGCTGCCCCCAGCCCTCCTGCCCAGGGTTTCAGTGAGGGAGTTCGGAGCTTTGAATTTCCCTTGGCATCAGTGGAGCTGGGAATGCAGACAGCTTGGTGTCCATGTACAGCACCCAAAAAATATGTCTGGGTGCTGGGTTCGTCATCGTTCCCGTCCCGGGCGAGCTCCCCACCTCCTCCCATGGCAGAGAGGGGGCTGCCAAAAATCACACTTCTTGTTTTAGCTCCGCTGAAACCCGCCTGCCTTTCGGGCTCATTTCTCCTCCTTTACGTCAAGCTGCCGCATATGCTGCAGGCGCCAGCGGGAAGTTTTCTGCCAAAGGCAGTGCTAAGGAAGAAAGGAGGCAGAGGAGGGTTTCGTTTCAGCTGCCAACGTCCCCCCCCCCCCCCCCCCCCCCCCCATCCAGATCAGGGACCTGCAAAACCTCCTGCGAGTCCTCCAGCACTGATCCCGGGGGGACACAGGTGCCTGTCAGTGCCACTCTTGTGTCCCCATCGCCTCCGAGGCTTTGCAAACACATCGCTGCAAAGCGGGGCTGGAGCTGAGGACCACCCAACCACCCACCCCTGAATATTTTCCAGCAGAAACGCTAAGAATAGCACACAGAAAGGCAGCTGGGCATGGACTGGGATGAAGCCATGACACTCCAAAAGCCCTGCGCCAGGTCTGCCTTTGTGCCGAGGTGCTTTGACGGAGGATTTGAAAGAGAGAGGGAAGGTATTGTTCTCTCTTGCTTTTGTTGGCACCTTTCAAAAGCTTGAATTCCTGTTCTCTGCTTCCCTCCAGCCCAAGCCTGGCCTTTTCCCCCATGCAGCTATCAACAATGAGCTCATTTTTCCCCAAAACCCGCTAAAAAGCAGGAGCATCAGAAGCAGAAGGTGATGGGATGGTTACACACCAATGAGGACCACCACTATTTCCATTCCTCATTTTTCCATTCCTAATTTTCCATGGGTGCTGCTCACACCTCCTTTTGGATTTCCCAGTGGGAATTTGCCCAGCTTCTCATTCCAGAAGGTACCAGCCTGAAGCAGAAGCAGCAAACCCAGGGCTGGTTTGGGGCCGCTGGTGGTGGGACATGGAAAAAGGCATGGGGGCCCCTCAGTCACAGGGAAAGGGGGATAGGGGAGACCCTGGTCACCATCACAGCATCATCCCTCGACTCCTGGTGAGAAACACAGCACCCACCTGCTCTTTTCCATTCTTTATTCCGACCATCCACTTTGGTTACAGTTCTGAAAGATTTTTTTTGGTAGCTGTTGTGGTGTTGTTTTTTTTTTTTATCTCCTCTAATCTGAACCCACCTTCGGCAATATTATAAAACTCTACAAGTACAGTAATGACGAGTTAACAATAAATAGGTATTTGTTAGTTCACGAAGTTAAAGTGCTTTGAGAAGGGATGTAAGAAGCTCTATCCTAGATTCCGGGGTGGGGGGGTGGGGAAATACCTTGGAAATGTAGTGCAGTAGGAAGCTCTGGCCCGTTGTCTGTAGTCTGTGGTCACGAGAGGCACGTGGCACCTCTCCCTTGCCCAAAAGACTCCTCGGGCACTCCTGAGTGAGCAGGCACGAAGCAGGAGCTGTGCTGCTGCCACAGGTTATTGGAAGCATAAGACAGGATGCCCTCACCCTCACACAGCCCGAGGTTGGGGTGTTTCAGACTGGGAAAGGTTTGGACAAGGTGTGGGATCACCCTCTGCAGGGAGAGAATCCCGTTTTTCACAGTTTAGTCTTGCTCGGAGACCTCAAAGCCCAAGAGAAGCAAACTCTGCCCCCCACCCTGTCCCCTCACTGGGGGAAGGGAAGCAGAGCTGTTCTGGGCGGTGGGGACAGGCACAGCCCCCCGAGCCCGGCGGTGTCGCCCTGAGATCCGCAGCCTCTTTCCCTGAGGAAGCGCGGTCCCTCTCCCGGAGGAGTGGTGTGGGGAGCAGGGTTTGCCTGCTGCCCACGGATAAATGCCCTTAGCTGCCTGCAGAGGATTTGTGCGTTTCAGACGTCTTCCCAGGGCCTCCCAGTTTGCTCTGGGCTCTGCTTCCACCTTCCCTTCCAGTCCCCTTCCATCTCTCCTCCCCCACATCCCAAATCTAGTCATCTTCCAAGCCTTTTCCATGCAAACTCCTAACTTTACACCTGCCCTTGCAGGTTTCCAGTGCTAATTCCCGATCTCCCTCCCACATCAAAGCCAGCTGCAAACAAAAAATAATAAACCAAAGCCCAAAACCCTTCCAGAGCCCAATTCTCCAGACCAGAAGGGGACTCCCAAGTGGCGCTGGGAGTGTTCCAGCTGCTTGCCAACCCAAACATTAGCCACCAAAAACTTGGAGGCGTCAGTCCCCGCTCAGATCAACCAGTTCAGAAGGCCGAGGGCTGGCTCCTCCTCTTCATCACATGCACGTTCCTAAATTGAGGAGTGGCCGTGCCCTGAGGATCAGTGCATGCACGTCGGCAGAAGTCCCCTGAACAGGATAACAGCTGCCAGGGAGAGGCTGTCACTGGTACAGCGAATGTCCTCCAGGTGTCCCCAACCCCTGCTCCACCTGGCCCTGCAGTCACATCCTCCTCACTGAGGCTCTTTCACCAAGGCCAAAAACGGAAAAGGTGCTGCCCAGGACCCCTTTGGGGACAGTGAAAGATCAATGTCCAAGGAGCGCCTAAGAAAACAGGGATCTCCCTTCAGGAGCGGACAGCAGGAAGTGCAGGAAGAGCAGGACGGCGGGAACACAGCTGTGTTCAGTGGAAGAGCTCCACCAGAGCCACCATCAGGAGCAGCTGCAGCCATGAGCCAAAGGTCATGGTGGCCTGGCCCTTCTGGAACAGGAAGCGGAGCTGGTTGACCAGGCGCTCCTTCACCAGCGCCTGCCTGAAGCCGTCCTCCTCCGAGATGCACACATAGTGGCCGTAGTGGCCGTGGCTGACGTTCTGGATGAAGTGGAAGCAATCCTGCTGGGGGTGGGTGGTGTTGCAGGTCTTGATGAGGCTGTTGTTGTGGTACCAGTTGTAGGTGGCGTAGTGGGACTCGATGGAACAGTTGAGGTAATAGCGGGAGAAAGGGACAACTGCGATGTTCTGGTAGTCATCTGCAGGAAGAGATGGAGAAGGAAGGGTTGAGGCAGGATTGTCCAGGAACCACAGATTCCCCCAAAAGCACCTAGGGAAGACCAACTGGGTTGATGGGGATATGCCCATGGCAGGAGGGGTAGAACTGGGTGACCTTTAAGGTCCCTTTCAAGACAAGCCATTCCATGATTCTGTGTTACACAGCCATTTAACAACAATGGCCCACAGCTGGTGAAGTCCACAGGACTTTTCTCCCAGGACACAGAGCTTAATCCCTCTCACCCAGCTCAGAGATACACTGTCTCCACTAACTCCAACTTGGTGTCTTGATTTCACTCCCAGTTCCCCAGCAACATCTCGCACGACCCATCCAAAGACTGGAGAATCAGCCACCCTGCCCCAACCACCGCTGGGGACATTGTCCTGTGGCTCAAAAAACCCTTTACATACCTTCCTTAATAGCCCCATTTGGGCAGTTTCCTCGCCACATATCCAAGTTCAGGTTCTGAAGCACCTCCCTAGCAGATGGGAATGGGAATAAGATTAATAGAACATTAGGGAAGCAGCATTTCAGGGATAGGAAAGGAATACCCCATATGAGATCGAAGGAAGTTTATTACCTGGTATTATTGGGGTAGGGAAAACACACACACACACACACACACACACACCCCTATTCCCAGTTAGGAGTTTGCTGCTGGCAAATGTGAGACCCAGTAGCAAAAAGATGGAGGAGGTGCTGCCCAGGACGCCTCTGGGGACAGCCAAAGACTGTTGGGTTGGGTGCTCCAAACACTCTCAAAGGAAGAATGGACCCCAACAGAGAGATCCCAGACTTTTTGGGACAGCACTGACATCCGCGCTTCCCTGCCCGGACAGGATGGGCTCGTCTCTCTCTGTGGTGGGAAGGTGGCCTCAAAACCACGCGTGGCCGTGGTCTGGAGCAGGAATACCGAGGGTCTGGGTGTTTCTCCCAGGGAAGCAGCAGGCTGCAGGCACCACGTACCGATTCAGGGATGCCGACTGGCAGGAGCCGTTGGCCCAGCCGCAGTGGGGGTCCCTGGCCAGCAGGCAGCTGTGGCAGTTGTTGCGATATGCCCTGCACATGTCCATGGGGATCTCCAGGACTTTGCTCGTGGAGCCCACGTACAGCACGGCCTGCAGGAGGAAAGCAGAGGGGACGGGTGATCATCCCGGCACTGTGTCCCAGTGCCACCTGCTGAGTGTCTCCAGAAGGATGTGGAGCTGCTGGAGCGAGTCCAGAGGAGGCCACAGAGCTGCTCCGAGAGCTGGAGCCCCTCTGCTCTGGAGCCAGGCTGGGAGAGCTGGGGGTGTTCAGCTGGAGAAGAGAAGCTCCAGGGAGACCTGAGAGCCCCTTCCAGAGCCTAAAGGGGCTCCAGGAGAGCTGGAGAGGGACTTGGGACAACAGATGGAGGGACAGGACAAAGGGGAATGGCTTCCCACTGACAGAGGGCACAGTTAGGTGGGATATTGGGATGAAAATTCCTCCCTGTGATGGTGATGAGGCCCTGGCACAGGCTGTCCAGAGAAGCTGCCCCATCCCTGGAAGTGTTGAAGGCCAGGTTGGAAG